AGTTTTACCTTATTTTTCAAAATCTTTTGAGCTAGAATGTGATGCTTCCATGGTTGGCATAGGTGCTATGTTGTTGCAAGGAGAATACCCTATTACTTATTTTAGTAAAAAATTACATGATGTCTCCCTCAACTATCTTACATATGACAATGAGCTCTATGCCTTAGTGAGGACCCTTCAAACTTGGGAACATTATCTTGTTTCAAAATAGTTTATAATACATAGTGATCATGAATCACTCAAGTATTTGAGGGGCCAAGTAAAATTAAATAAAAAATATGCAAAATGGGCTGAATTCCTTGAACAATTCCCTTATGTGATCAAATACATGAAAGGTAAAGCTAATATCATGGCTGATGCCTTGTCACGAAGGCATGTCGTGCATATATCCCTTGGATCTCAAATATTAAGGTTTGATAACATAAAGGAATTGTATGATCAAGATAAAGATTTTACATCTATTTTTGCTAAATGTAACTTAAAGGCTCAAAATGGCTTCTATATTTCTAAAGGGTATTTATATAAAAAAGGTAGATTGTGTATATCCCAAGGATTTATTAGAAAGATATTAGTTAAAGAAATCCATTAAGGTGGACTCATGAGGCACTTTGGAGTTGATAAAACTCTTGTTATACTTAAAGAAAAATTCTTCTGGCCCCATATGAGGAAATATGTCCAAAGGTTTTATTCGAGATATATAACTTGTTTTCAAGCTAAATCTAAAATAATGCCTCATGGAACATATACACCTTTACTTGTTGCTACCTCTCCTTGGGTTAATATTAGTATAGATTTTGTCCTGAGTTTATCCAAAATCTAAAGAGGCATGTATTCTATCTTTGTGGTGGTGGGTTAGTTTAGTAAAATGGAATTTTATACCATGTCACAAAGTAGATGATTCTAGCAACATAACAAGATTCTTCTTTAAAGATGTGGTTAGGTTACATGGATTACCCAAAAGCATAGTTTTTGATAGAAACACAAAGTTCTTTGGTCACCCATAGATTGATGGGCAAACAGAAATAGTTAATAGATTTTTATCTACTATGTTAATGGCAATACTAAAAGGAAATCACAAATCTTGGGATGAGTACTTGCCTTATATTGAGTTTGCATACAATAAAGTGGTTCATAAGACTGCTAAAATCTCTCCCTTTGAGGCTCTTTATGGTTTCAATTCTCTCACTCCTTTAGACTTGATACCCTTACTTGATGTTAATCATTTTATTCAAAAAGAGGGGGTATCAAGAATTGATTTTATAAAGAAACTACATGAGAGGGATAGAAAAAAAATTCATCAACAATCAGAAAGATATACAAAATATAATAATAAAGGAAAGAAAATAATCATCTTTAAGGAAGGTGATTGGGTATGACTTCACTTGAAGAATGAGAAATTTCCTACTCAAAGGAAGTTCAAACTTAATCCCCAAGGAGATGGTCCCTTCCAAGTCCTACAAAAAGTAAATGAAAATGCATATAGGCTAGACCTCCTTGAAGAATATGGTGTTTGCCCCACATTTAATATATGTGATCTTATTCCTTTTGTAAGGACTACAAATGATGAAGAGGAGAAACCTACAGTTTTGAGGACAAATCTTTTTCAAGAAGAAGGGGATGATGGAAAAGCATGAGACAAGGGACCTACTACAAGGGCTATGACAAGGAGAGCTCAAGAGGGATGAACTAGTTTAGAGGGAGGTAGGCCTATATTGGTTTTTAGTTGGGCTATTACTTGATTCTAAGCCCAAACCTTTCTAATAGTAATTTTATTTGTGCCTTATATTTTCCTTAAGCCTTGTATTTTGGGCTAGTTTAGTTAGGATTTTTTTTAGTTGTGTATTTGGGACATTAGATAAGTTGTAGGCCTAATTAGAAGTAGCCTATACATTTAAGTGTCATTTAGGATTTATTTGAAGTGCATTTGGACACCATGTTGTCAACCAAGGGTGGTGCACATGCCATACTCCAAATTCACCTTCAAATGCCTTCTAAATTACACTTAAATGCAATAGCCCAACTTCCTAAAAACATGTGCACATGGTGGCACATGAGTAAACATGATTTTGCACCAAATTTAAATTTGAATTCAAATTTGGCACCCCTAGGAGTCAAGTAAACCATACCATGGTTTAACTTGACCCTAGGTTAAGTGTAGTTTCTCCAAGAACCTACCTATCTCTATATAAGACCCCTTCTACATGTAAAATTGCACTTTGGATTTATATATGAGTTTTTCTCCTTGAAATCTCTCTCAAAATCCAAAGCCAACTAGCCTTAGGAACCTAGTTTCCTTAAGCACTTTCAATATGGAAACCTTCCTTGTGAATTTGTGCCATTTGTTCTTCCTTCCTTGGAAGACTTGAGCAAGCTATTCCTCTCATTCTCTCATCTATTTCAATCGGTTAGCCATCCATAAACCTCATGGAAGCTATGTGGAGAATTGAAGATCAATTGGAGTAGAATCGACTTACCTACTTCTATGGATTTCCATCAAATGTTATTTGGTTTACTCGTAATTTAGTTATGAATTTAATTGACTATATTAATTAAATTATAGTATTTTTTTATCCTACCATAGATATGTTCATCCCACTTACCAAAGATTAATCTTGTTTGCAGTACGATGACTATTATCAATTTGAAAGATTTTTACACAATGTGGAAATCAAATAAAAGATTTTTGTTGAATAAATCGTCTTACACAATGTATAAGGCCAATGTGGTTAACCACTACACCAACCCATCAAGTTAATTAAATTATAGCTTTTTTGTATGCATGTTATTTATATGAAGTATCTACTAACTTTATTGCTGACTGATCTCCATTGAGGAACCTGAATGATCACTTTTAGTAGGTTATTTGTCTCAACTACATTTTTTTTTCATACACAAGACTCAAACCTTGATACCCTGTTTAAGGAGACCAAGTCCAATATTATTCAAATCAATGACTTATTGGTTAATTAAATTATAGTCTAAACACATTTATTTTAACTTTAAACCACTTAAATGTGTTTTTAGTTCTTTAAATTTTTTAATGCAAAATATTTTTTTTTAAATAGTCCTTATAATTTTTTTTTGTTTTAATCCATGTTATTGTGTTTTATTAACTACAATATTTTTTTTTATAAAAACTATTCCAAAATAAACAAAATATTATAAGAACTAAAATAAAAATACATGTATTATAATAACTAAAATAAAATAAAAACTACAAAAACATTAAAAAAAATCAAAGGAAAATACAATAAAAAAAACTGAAAGAATGATATATAACATGAATAAAAGTATATTTAAGTTTTTTTTTAAAAAATAATATTATACTAAAAGGGCACTCAATTAATCAAATACCAAATAAACCGGTAAAATAAGAAAAGACCTTTCGACACCTTCAACAAGTGAAATTCCTTTGGAATTCTTGGCAGTTGAAGTTGTAGTAGAATACCTAATGAAAAGAAATACATTCTCGATACTCCTAAGGTAGTAACTTAGTTAAAAAGATCAACTTAAGAAGCAATCAAGGTTAGTAAGGGCAAATTCATGATTAATAATATATTAATCAATATTTCAACACCAAAACCCATCGATCAAATGTTCGTTACGGTTAATATAAATAGTAACATATATTGAGGTAAAAAATATTATTTATTAATTACTTGCATTTATTACATTGGATGAAAATTTTACTTGAACGTTGAAATGTCTTTTATAAGTGTTCCATTTCTTAATATTTTTAAAGACTCAAGATTAAAAGATTAGAGACAATTGAAGATATTAAAAAAATATTATAAAAGTACCGCTAGACAAGTACAAATATGAATTAAAAGTAAAAAAATAATATAGGCAAACGCTAGAAAACATCTGAGCTTAAATTTACTTTTAACCTGTATAATTTTGTGATTGTGTAATTTTAGTCCCAACTTTTTCTTTATTATAAATTTAGGCTATTTAATTTTCAAAATTAAGTAACTTGGTCTACTTATTAACTTGGAATAGAAAAATTAAGCAAAAAAATGCTAATGTGTCTCAGAATAACACTCTCTAAGAATTATTTAATCATGCATTTTCATGTAAAGAATAACATTATTTTTTTAATACATACATATTACATTTTTTTATTTCAATTAAAATTTATATTCTATTAAAAATAATTTTATAATATAATTTTTCTATGCATCTAAATAATTGTATATCAATATTCACATAGACATTAACATTTTCTGTCATATTTTGAATGTCATGTTAATAGATAGACTAATATTACTTAATTTTAAAGATGTAAAAATTAATTTTGTTATAATTTTTTTGAAAAAACTAAAATTACACATTTATTAAATTATAAAAATTAAAAGTGAATTTAAAACAAATATCTAGAAAACCAGTAAAATATCCGGCTCACATAAGATGAGACAAAAGAATTGGTCGTATTTCCACACACAGAAATCGCGACTCTGGTATTCGTCTACCCTTATTTTCAGTACAAGACAAACTACCACCAAATGCTTCATCACATCCTAATAGCCCACTTGCCTCCACTCAATTCAACCACATAGGATTACCCCACAAAAAGGACACTATAGACCCACTTTACCAAAAAGTGCAAGCACCAATCATGCTAAATATCTTCTCCAATTAAAGTACCATCTTTCTTAATCATATTTTCTTTATTTTTCAGTAACATTAAATATTTTTTAGATATTAAATTATAGAAATATCTTATAATAAGTTGGTAATTTTTTTCACGGCATAAGTCGGTAAGTTTTGACAAAATAAGTTATAAACTAATGTGTAAAACAATAAATAATTAAAAACTTATATTAACCGTGAATTATAATTGATCATCACAATTCACCATTAAACTGTCATTACTATTTCTCAAAAACATATCAACGAAATTTTTTAAAATTAATTTTTGGGATGTAGAAATAAAATAAAAAGGATAATAATAATAAGAGTAGAAGAACATCATCCTTATCCATGTCGAGAAAGAAACTCCCTATTTAACGTTATCTCTCGTGTGTGGAATCATTCTTCAATCTTCACTTAGCCTTATCATTAATAGCACGCAGTCTTTCATTCTTTCTTTCTTCTCATCTCCTCTTTGTTTTCTAATCATTCAACGATGAAGGCAACACCGCTTCGTCCTTGTTCCGCTCCTCTGATTCTCGACGCGCATAGCAACCGAACCTCGTCGACCCGACACGCTTCCACCGTTTGTTGTTCGTCGAGGAACCAACCCTACATCCCGAAGCTCGAACCTTTTAGCCGAACCAAGTTTGAAAGGGCCGTTAAAGACCCTCCTTTGATCGAAAAATCCGAGAAAGAGCTTTCAGGTATTTTTCTCTTTGAATTTCACAACTTTATAACGATTTCATTGACCCCTTTTGGTTTTTTTTTTTTTGGGGTATCAATTTATGTTTTCTTTCGTTACCGTTTATTTTCTGGTTTTTCTCCTTTTGATTCCTTTTTTTTTTATTTAAAATTTTTAATTTTTATTTATTTTTCAATTCATATGAATGGTGAAATCTGATTACAGTTTTCATCGTGATCTGTTGTTGAAAGAGTTGATCGTTTGTGGTGTTTTAATGTCTGCAGATTATTGTTCAACGCTTGAAGGAGACGAATCCTATAGTTGCTGGCAGGCTTATTTTGAGCTGAAAGATCTTGAAGTACGTTCTTTCTATGGTTTATGGTGTTGTTGGTGTATTACTTTTTGTGATAAAATATGATGCAATTGTAAAAATAAAATATGGCCTTTTTAGTGTGTTTTGTTGTGTATTTTTGCTTTTATTTCTCCGAAAATATATATTTTTTAATAAATTTATTTCTCTTTTAAAATTGTCAAAGAATGAAAGGAAGAAACCGGAAGTTTATGAAACTACCTTCCGTCTCTGCCCATGTGGAATATTAGTGATATGATATCTTTTGGATGAAAGAAAGACTATACAGAAAAATATAAATGATAAAAGAATGATTTAAATGATAAAAGAAAGAAAAAATGATTTATAGAAACAAAAGTTTGTTTTTAATAGAAAGAAATTTTTTTTTTTAATTTAAATTTCAAAATTATTTCCACTGGCGTTTTTTATTTATCATTTCAAACAGAGTGTAGATTCAAGAGAATAAACTTGAAAAAAGTTATATGTTGTAGCCCAAAAAGCATAATGAAAAGATGTTAAATGAGAAGTGGAACCATGTTGCGATATCGGATAACTTTTATTTTGTTCTACAAAGAAGTACATATCTTTAACTGACCCTAATCAAGGAAGTTTTTAATTTTTATTGTTATATAATTATGAATTACAGTCACAGTAATAAAGTTCAAATTTATACATACTAATATCCTATCTCAACTTTTTACTTAATATATACTTATTAAATATTTTGAAAGCAAACATTAATTTTTTTTTCTCAATAGAGTAAATATTTTTAGTAAATACTTTTTAAGTTATCTCTCTTTTCTTTTTCTTTTTTCTGCTATGATATCTTTAAGACACTTGATTCCATTTTGAGTATAATATTCCCAACTTGTGTTCATTTTTGAAAAAGTATCAACCATAATGAAATTCATTGTCGTGTTTGGACCTTGATTAACGAATAATCTGTTATTCCCCATAATCTTTTACAGAAAGAGTCCCCAAAAGCAGACATAGAGAGGTTGATTCTGGAGACTGGTGGAGTAAAATCCCTAATAGGGTGTTTGCATGGGATTGCAATCATGCACAAACTAAAGAAGGATGGGATGAATTTGAGCAAGGATGTGAAATCAGAAGAAGGTGAGAGACACTGTCCTATTCCAGATGGATTGCCAAAATCTTATGATGAATTGATGGAAGAGGAGAAAGCCAGAATGCCTGATTCACCATATACTAAGCTTCTTAGAACCATGGGCAGCCACCCTGCATGGTATTCTCCTGCCCCTGACCATGAAACAGATTGATGATGTTACCATGCATGAATTATTTCTTTGGAGGGAACAAGTAATAACATAGTGGTGGACTAGCTATACTCCCATGTGAATGGAATGAGTAATTTTGGGTGTTTTTTTCTACAAATGTAATTATACTTTTGCATAACTTTCTGTGTTATATATGTTTCAGGGAGTGGTAGGTTAAATAGGGGATTGTATACTTTTATGAGAATGGAATGAATGCATTTTTTCTTTTACCTTTAAAGGTCGATATAAAGTCCGATATTTTTTGGGTTTAGCTTAAAATGTGTTTGGATATATGTTGTAAAAGTGAGAAATCATAACGTTGAGACTATCCAATACATTGCTTTTTGCAAATGGTAAAAATGATGTTCCAAATGAGAGGCCAAACAAATTATAAGTAAAAAAAAAATAATTGAAACTTTTTTCTATTAACATGGTATTGAAAATTGGACTAATCGACCCTCAATCGATTTGGTTGGTCTCAAAAAAAATTATTTTGTATTGAATTGATAAAAAAATCAGTAGAATTGGTCAAATTGATTCAAACAATCCATTTTTTTAATTATTAAAATTTGATTTAAATATTTTAATAAAAATTAAAAGTCAGAATAACTTATTTTTAATATTTATTTCATAAATATAATTTAATTATTTATGTTAATTTATAAATTTTAATTTCTTTACAGTTTATATTACAGTTTATATTATATTAGTTTGATACTTTTTATTCCAGAGGTAAACTTATTATTATTAATAAAATTGTTATATTTTATTAAAACTTAAAACTTAAATATTATATTACATATAGTTTAGAATTTTATGTATATATTAAATATTAAGAATCTATAAATAATATTTTATTTTAATTTTTAATGTTATAAAATTATCATATTATATTTATTTAATATTATTCTTGTATTGATAATAATAATAATAATAATAATAATAATTTTATTTATATTGATTAGTAGTTTAACCACAATTGAAGCGTTGAACCTTAAATCAATACTTAAACTAGTTTAATGATCAATCCAATTTTAAAAATATTCTTTATTATGGTGTGATGTGGGTATTGAGTACTAATTATGATTTATATACATGTTTAAATTTTAGAGTTATTTATTTTTATATAATAAAAAAGAATATAATAATTATGTACTATAAATATAAAAATACATTATTTATATCGTTGATATGAGTTTTAAGTTAATACATTTATAATATATGACAATTTATGGCCAAATATAATTCATATATGTTTCAATGTTGAACATCTCTTGAATATGGTTACTGGTGTACCAATTTTTATTGTTCGAACATATATAATTTAAAATACATGCATAAATTAGTTTAATAATGAATGAAACTCTTAAGACATGTAATGCACTATCTTAAATGATTTATGCATAAATTCTTACACAAATATTCAAGATACAATAGGACCATTTCAAGCACTTAGGTTGACCTAGAAAAAAAAATAGAGAGAAAAGAAAGTAAGGATGAGAGAGCACTTTTCAATACATCTAACTCTAAGTAGGTGCTAGGTATTGATAGAAAAGAAAATTGATCATTGTGATTATAGTTAATCATAAAATATAAAATCAATTAATTTTAAGCGTTTAATAATTAAAATTAGAAAGGTCAAATAATTAAGGAGAGTGTATTGAATTAGGATTTCAATGGATATTCAATCAATACTTGTTTTTTAATATAAAAAAGTTATGCAGTATTCAATCAAGACAATTAATTTTTTTTTAAAAAATTCATCAAAAATCTTGTGGTATTTAATAAGACAATTAGGATTTTTTTAGGAGTCAATGAAAATCTAGTGGTATTCAATTAATTTTTTATTTTAAAAAAGTCTGTTGATATTGAAAAATATAGAGATTTCAATGAATTATTTTAAAAATTAGATTTTGTGAGACTTTTTAGTATAATTTATATGCAATCCACTTAGCAAACAATTTCACCATAATCTATAAGATGTCACATGACTTTTTTTCTTCTTTTATTTCTACTATTTCTTTCTTTTTTTCTCTCTCTTAAATATTTTCTCTTGCCTATCTTGTGTCTCTATCTCATATTCTATATTTTTTCTCTCATTTTCTCTCACCATTTTTGCTTCCCTCTTTTCTTTTCTTCTTTATCTCATTTTCTTTTTATTCATCTATCTCTTCTTTTCTCTTTCCTTTCTTGCTTCTTTTTTTCTTTCTCTTTCTCTTTGTATTCATCTCCCTCATTTATCTCTCCTCCTCTTCCTCCTCGATTGATGTATAATTCATCAATATTTATTTATTTTTAATTATTAAATATTTAAAATAATTTTTATATTATTAAATATTATCTATTGTTAAAATTTTTATATTATTAAAATTTAACTGTTTATTTTTAATAAAATTTAATATTGAAATATAAATTTTTGGCACATATATTAAAAAGAATTTGCAAGTCATGATAATGACCATCAAAATGAAAATAAGATTTTCAATTTACGTCATGTATCCTTAAAAAATGTGATTGAATGGATATTTAATATTTTTAAATTACACTTCACAATTTTTAAGTCAAGTCTCTATTTCTAGTTAAGACATAAGATGAACTTGTATTAGCAGGTCTACGTAACTTTTTTTTTTTTTACAAAGAATGTCGTTCTAATAAATTTATAAATTTTTATTAATTTTATTTTTAATAATATTTAGAAGGATATATTAGATTGAAATTTCGAAAGATAATTTTAACATGAAAAAGTTTTGTGAGTTTTAATGAATTTTAAAAGACTTTGTAGAAATTTCATAATTTTTAGGATTTTTTTCAAAATTTTTAAAACTTGGATTTTAGTCAAGACTTTATAATTGAAATTTTAATGAATTTTAATTTTGATGGATTTATATTATAAGATTTTAAATAATTTCATAAATTTTATAAGAAAACATGGATTTTCTATAAGATTTAATAAACAAAAATAAAAAATAAAAAATAACAGTAATACTACAAGACTTTATTTCTCATTTATTTTGTGTGTCTATGTGATGATTATCATGAAATTGCTATTTTGATAATAATTATGTTCATACATATATGAAGTTGAAGTTTTTTAAAATTGCATATACGATATTAATTAATGTTATTCATAAATAATATATATATATATATATATATATATATATT